GAAGAGGCTGTTTGAAATAAAATGTATACCGACCGATGTGTCTCTAGATGGCGATTACAAATCCGTCTTCATTGTCAGCTGCGGATCTTGAACAAAGTTATCGGTTTTTAGGGGTGGTATACCTCGCTGAATACGAAGCGGGTCGAAGGGGTCGAAGTTGCTTTGAATGGAGGCGCTGTAACTCGGCATTTATGTGCGTGGTCTCGTATCAGCAATTCAGTCGTAATTTGATGCAATTTATCTCTCACTCGGAGGAGCTTCACGCCCGAAATTCGTTTTGAGCGTGAGTATGCTCTACGTAGCTTCGCTCAGAGACGTCTGTAAAATATATGGAAGCTGTATTTGTGATCATGTCCAATGGTATATGTCGTATTTCAGATGGCCACTTCGTCCTGTCATCCTTCCCTTATTAGTCTGTCTCTCTGTGCATTCTCCGCTTTGTCACCGACCAAAGTAAAAGTTAATAAAAAGAACTTCATTGCTCATTAGTATTGATCAGCAAAGTAAAGATCATCACCATATACCACGTATTGCGGCCAGCGGTTCACTGGCCCATCAGCTCCAAGGAGTACAGAGTCTTACCTACCAGCTCTTTCCAGTAGATCGAATTTTTCCCACAGATGCAGTATGAGTGCCCGAAGCAAATGCCAGTGAGACGGGTCAAGTCAAGAGAAGAGTGCTAAGGGAGAGCGACGATTGAGTCCTCACGTAACTTAAACCAACTTTCTTACGCTTCAGTAGACTGCGCCTATCTATCTTTTAGTGGAGAAGAGTGGATCGGGACCACGGTGTGCTAAAATTTTTCATTTCAAGGACCATCAAGAATATTTTTATCCGCATCAAATTTTGGACCGAAAAACAAATCGTGTAGGCAGGTTAGGTGGTTTAAACCGAGAGGTGGCAGTCATAAAAATATCCTAACGCTCGCTATTTGCATGAGTCTTCTTTCACCCACGTAATGTTAACTCCTTCCCTCAGGTTGCGTACTGGAACACGTCCGCGACGTTGGAGCTGAATTTTTCACAAAATGCGCGCCTCTCACCCCCCCTCCCCTTCATCTCTCGTTCTAGGTAAGCCGTACCATCTTCTCGAATTTTCTTAAGCGAGTTAATGTTTTTTTTTTCATTTTTTTCCATAAAATTTACTATCGAGCGGGAGAAAAGAAAAGGGGTCACAGGTGCAATCTCTCGGTGATTATCTAAACGTAGACGTGCGTAGTAAGATGGATTCGAGAGAGTATTTTTATTATTGATCGAGCAAGCACAAATTTATACGTGGTTCTAAGCTGTCCATTTTGTACTGGTTTTGTATCTTCATTTTTCTTCACTTACTTCTGAAGTTTACCTCTCACTCGGCTACTTTTTCCAGGAAATTGTTAAAGTTACGTCTCCACCTGGTAAGCCGAAAGCCATCGCGCGCTACTGAAAACGTCGATAGGACCGAATCGCAGCCTGTCCTCGATAATAATAGGAGCGTTGTGTCAGAACCTGCACTCGCGACCGCTGCCCTTCCTCACCTCCCTCTGTGCGCCCCCCCCGACGCGCCCCAAAGAAACACACTCCCGTCCCTCCGCCTTGGGCAGAGGTGATGTAATGTTCCACATAAATGATTCATTTTCACTTGAATGTGAATGCTGTTTTAAATTGAATGATCTGTCTCACGGTGTCCTTTTTCTTATCATAATGTGACGCCACTCGTAACGCCATCAATGATAGCGCTGTGTAAAGCGAAATGTGTGGCCATCTCCCCAAAGGGATTGAAATATGGCTTTACTTGTTCGCTGAAATGGATTGAGAACACGCAAAAGAACTTCTCCAGGGCGCTGATAAGAATTCGGGGCTCTTGTCCCTTCCGGTGTTCAATGTTCCTCTACGAATTAGATTCGAGAATGGTCATTGTGGTCTTCATATTTCCTTTGCTGATTGCTATCAACAAATCGGGAAAGGGACTCTGTAACACGGACCTTCATAAAGGTCTATTCCGGGCTACCAGTTCACGGCGTTACAAAAAAAGCAGACTCCCTAAGTATAGTAGTTGACTTGACCCGTTACAGCCTTGCCACGTTAAATCAGTTAGGTCCATGGGTGACTTCCGCGCGCGGGACAGTGATTGCAGCCGCTCATCCTCCGCCGCCGCCTCTCATATTAACTGATCTGCACCCAGATGGGAACTACGTTTTCCTTCGTACACGGATTCCCGCTCCAAACAAAAAACAAGCGAAATTTCCCCTGCCTGCTATAGATTTTTGTCTGCAGAGAATAAGTACTCAAAAGCACGCTTTGTTTTACTCGAGCCCCAGGTAAACCGTCCGTTTGGCTTTTAGGAAATTTGCCCGGAACATTGGCCTTTTCCTAATTCCGCTGGGTATTCAGACCGACGGCTCTTCCCCCATTCGAAACCTCATGATATGTCGTTTCCTGCATTTCCAAAATGTGACAGGCACAGTCGCAAATGCCCCATTTGACTTTTTTATGCAGCTGGTTGGCAGCTGCACATTTCGGCCAGTTAAAAAAACGGCTGGCTGGAAGTAGAAATGGAAATGCTGAACTGGTGGCTTATGTAGGACAGAAATTCTGGTGAATATTTTGGGTGGCTGTGCTCAGAATTGATGGATATTTTTCAGGAAGGTGGAGAACTACTGTGTTGTGATGCGTGTCCAGCTTCGTTTCATTTACTTTGCCATGAACCGATAATTCGACGAGAGATGATACCACGGGGCAGATGGCTTTGCAATAGGTGTCGACGAACTGGTGGCAGCGCAATTGCTGCAAAGCGTAATCGTGCTTCGGTGAGTTTGTACTTTATTTTGAAATCTTCCTACAGTACCTGCCTATTCATTTATGAAGCTGTGGTGGTTTAGTGATAGGTGGCATGTTAACATGAGCGCGTTAGGGGGGGGGAGAGGTCCTGGATTGGCTTCCCTCAGATCAACCAAGCCTCCCTCTACCTTTCGGGGACGGTAAATTGGAACCAGCTAGATTGGGAGGGTGAAAACACTGAATGTATATCGGCTGGCCACCGCAAGTCATTGTGTAGGCCACATCGCATCAGTAAGACACTAGGCTTCTGAGTAGAAGTAGAGTGTCTTACTGGATCCTACAAAGTAATTGATCAGCGAGCGAACTTTATCGCAGGTTTACGTGTCGGTGGTGAAGAAGGTCGTGCTGTAGCAGTACTTTTGGGAGGTCGTTTATCAGAAATTCTTCCCTTCCCTAAATGAGGATATAACATCCATTTCTAAAGAATTTCCACCTGATCAGTTTTCTATCAGTTTTTTAAATGAAATTCTTTGAGAAAATTCCATTTTCTAGATGGCTTCGGAAGAGGACTACCGGCGGCAGGAACTAGAACGAAATTTCTCTAAAAAGAAAATAACTACTGTTATGGAGTTTTATGTCGCACTCTCATCGTCGCTGACAAATTGCAATGCACGTCAGGTAAGTGGT